GCCCGCAGCCGTGGGGCGGCGTCGCGGAGCGCGGGCGGCCAACGGCTCCTTCCGCCCGTTCCCGAGCTGCTGGCCCGGCTTCCCGGCGCGGGGAGACCGTCCCTGCCCCGGACTTGTGAGGAGCCCTGCGTATTTCCCCCGCAGTTCAGGTGAGGCGCCCGAGGGGATGCAGTGAGCCCGGTCGGCTCGGCGCTCGCCCAGCTCCATCTGAGCACCCTCCAGGGGTGCGGGAATGGAAGAGCCCGGCTCGCAGCTCGCCCGCGGCGCGGCCTGCCGGGTGTACCCCCGGGAGTGAGCGGGGACGCACAGGCACCTGGTGCGGTACCGGAGGCCACATGGCGGGAGGACGCCAGCGCCGTAAATTAGCGATCCTTTAGGAGCCGCCGGCTGTGGATGTAATTGGACGAGCGTGGAAGAGGGCCCTCTTGAAAAAGCACAACAGTTCTCTGAGAGGAGAAATCCTGAGTTGATCCGCTTCTGCCAAGACCTGAGAGTTCAGCGTGCTGTACGTTTGCTGTGAGATGAAAACCGTGTGAAGTATTCTGCAAGAGCCTAAACGATGACCACCCCAGCCCTGCTGCCCCTGTCTGGACGTCGGATCCCGCCTCTGAACCTGGGGCCGCCCTCCTTCCCGCATCACAGGGCTACCTTGAGACTCTCGGAGAAGTTCATCCTTCTCCTCATTCTCAGTGCCTTCATCACCCTGTGTTTTGGGGCATTCTTCTTCCTTCCAGACTCCTCGAAACACAAACGCTTTGATCTGGGTTTAGAAGATGTGTTGATTCCTCATGTAGATGCAGGCAAAGGGGCGAAAAACCCCGGAGTCTTCCTGATCCATGGACCTGATGAACACAGACACAGGTTTGTTGATTTCGTAAATTCGGGTGTTAACGTTTAGCCGGGCACGGTAGGGTCGTTGGATCGAATCTGTCTCTGCCTTTTTTTTGGCAGCGGTAAAACGTGTAATAGTTCAAAGAGTGGTGTTAGTTCAAAACCGGCTGAGTAGAAGTAGAGACCGGAAGGACTACTAGTCTCACCTAAAGTCCAGGTTCTTCTTTTTTCATAGAAGAGACGTGTGTTGAGAGTTACGTCTGCTGTGGACAGATAGTAATGAACCCTTAATGTAGAGAAATAGGGGCATGTGCTGCGCACGAACTCCCTAAGGTGTTGCACTCAGTCTTTGTACCACCCTATGAAATCATTACCTCCGGTCTTGACAGCTGCTAGGGTTTGCTGTCAAAGGGCGCTCATTCTTCGGCTTGTGGTTAGAATCTTAGTAGTGAGCCTTACTTAGTTTTTTGGATGACAAACATGGACAAAACACGAGAAGTAACATTGGGAAAAAAGCAGATTTTTGTTATTTTCACGATATGTGTTTTGGTGCTTCATATGGAATTAGTTGTTAAAGGTATCATCAAACTCCAAGACTTTGACTTTGTGAATCTTGTGGATAAGATTGAGGATCTTTTTAAAAATTTAATTTTGTTCTGATCTTTTTGTTTTAACGTAAGATAGACCATGTCAGTTCTTAAACTGTTAGAATCTGGTCAGTTAAGGAGTTAACATTTTTTTCAGGTCTCCAAAGCTGAAGTGAGACTAGCCAAAAATAGGATGAAATGGAAGCTGTAGTTACAATCCCTTTAAGTCATTTATATATTAAATAACTTATATATGTTTTGAAAAAGTTTGGGAAGTAGTTTACTTTATTCAAACCTACTCTCTTTATTTCTTGAAATAATTCTTGAGTTGTGAAAAAAATGTTTTAACTGATGTTAGTTTTAACTTTTAATCTGTGCGAATTTTGAGAAAGCTTAGGTTTACCCAGGAGCCTAAGTTAAATACTTGGGAAAATTCATAGGGTTGTAATTAGCATATAGCCCAGCAAAGTTTTCTTAGCCTAGTTAACTCATTACTTGATTGATGGTTCTTTGCCTTTTTGTTGAACCTTCTGAGGTAGTTATAATATTTTTTACACCATTCTTTTATAACTGCCTTGGAATTTTTGCCATTTTCAACTCTTTACTTTCTTAGATTTGTTTCTTTAAGTTTGTTTTACGTGGTCTACAAGGATCAAAAATGACCAATTTCTAGATTAAAGATATTTGCATAGAAAAATTCTCAAATGCAGTTAAAATCTAAAGTTTGAATGAAAATGTAGATCTGTGTATTTTATTCAGAGTTTATAAAAGTCAACTTAAATAGTGTGAAGAACAATCCTTAAATTTATATGGCCTATGAACCTATATGTATGTGTATTCTTGCTGTATCAGGCTCCAGAGTTTTGAATTTGAAGAGAGAGAATGGTTAAGACTTCTGATAACAGGGTGGTTAGTCACATTCTGAGTTTTCAGTAGAGTCTGGATAGCAAATAATGTTTGTGAGAATTTATTGGAATCTTTTTGGTTCTTGAGTTTTGGAAAGGGAGAATTCAGACAGTTCAGTTAGTGAAGAACCTCTGTATTGTGCTTGTACTGGTTTAATTTTTTGCTTGCTTAGTATGTTTTTTCTTGATTACTGTATTTGAAATTATGATCTGTACTGATAAAAATCATTTTACTTTTGATAAGGAAATCAATTTTAAATCACTAAATGTAAGTTCAAAATGTGGAAATGCAAAACATCAAATTAATATATTAATACTAATTTTAAAATAATTAAAAAATATAACTTTTACGGAGTTACTAAGACCATATCTGTTATGGATGTGGATAAAATATTTTTTCTTAATTTAGAAGATACTTATTGATAATTTATCTTAATTTCCTATTTGTATGGAAGGGTTATAGGATAGAGCAGTGGTGGTGAAGCTATGGCATGTGTGCTGCAGCGAGCTGTTTGTGTCATTGAAAACTGTAAAAGGTTCTCCATCACTGGTGTAGAGGGATGAGGAATGGAAGATAAATTGTCACATCTTACAAACAGCAGTTAAAAGCTACATGTCAGATTAGTTTTAACAGTAGATCTTTATTAATGATCTGTAAGATCTCAATTACGTATTTATACTGTTTTGCCACTGATCAGAGGTGTGATTTGAGCAAATTTAAAACTTTCGCTTCCTCTGTGTGACAGTGACATACATATGTTTTACAGTTTGTACTGTAAATGAGATAATACGTGCAGAACACTTAATATAATTCCTAGGATTTAGTCAGTTAACAGTAAATATGAGCATTTATTACTAATATTGAATATTTTAATTCTGAGTTTACTTTAAATAGTGTATATATTTCTGAAAAGTTGGGTACAGTTTGATTAATATTTCACAAGTACTCTAGAATTTTATTGTCCAAAGGAACATTTTATAGCTAGACCGCTAGTTAGCAACAAATATGTACTGCATTTTATTTTTGTCAGGTCCTGTTTATAAGGAGGTCTGTGTAAGGGGGGTAATGGGTAAAATGATTTTGGTTTTAAGTGTAGTGAGTGTTAGGAAGTTGTATTCAGTGTGAACAGAGCACTTAATGGAGTGACTAGCATATGCTGTGGGGCTAGAGGGTAGTGAGAATAGGGTAGCTTCACTTGGGAAGCAGTGGCTCAAAACCTTTGAGTAGGAAGTCTAATTATTGTTGGAGAGAGGGAAAGGGATCCGAGCAGAGCGCAGGTGTGAGAGCCCTAAGGTGTCATGAAAGAAGTTCAGCATGGCTGATGGAGAGAGTAGCAGTGTGGGGTCAGATAAGGAGACTGGATGAGAGGTCAGAATTGTCTTGCATATAGGTTCTTTGGACCTCATTGTTACAGAAATTTGAATTGCTTGACAGCATTCACAGGTCAGGATATTTCATGTCATATTCAGGATTTCTGATTTCTTTCAAAAAGTTACTCTAATTTTTTATTAGTGTATTTAATTACTCAGGCACCACCCTGTATTTTCATGTGGAAACATTCAGCTAGAATCTGGTAGCAGCTGCTTCCTTAAGGGGCGTATGCTGTCCATTTTCTGCCACTCAACAAAGGTGTCAAATGAATAAATATTATAAATCAATATTTACCCTGGTTGTTGTTGAATTTGCAATCTCTGGGTGGTATCCTGGAGATTCTGTAGTTAAATTTGTTTTGGTTTTATCCTAATTGTACTATGAGGAGTCATTGATGCAAGGGAATGACATGATCATTTTAAATTTTTAAACATTTTAAACAATCAGTTTTGTGTAGGGGGCTAAGCAAATTGGAGCGTCTGTGTCACAGAGGGTATTGACTTCTACCACCCTGGAGATAGTGGGGAAGGAGAGATATTAATGTAGAAAAGGAATTAATTCAAGAAATGTTAAGCTAGTAGGTTTTACAGAAAGTGGTGGTTAACGGTTTACTATGGGGGATAAGGTAATAAGGTAGAAGGGAAAGGGAATAACTTTCTAGGTTTCTGTCTGGCAATGGATTAATAAGACATTTACACTTACATTTACACTATTTACATGACATTTACATTTACACTATTTAATGAATGCTTTAAGTTCTGTAATTTATTTTACATGAAATAAATATGTTTTCATGAGGAAACCAGTATGTATGCTTCTATTAATTGGTTCACAAATAATCCAGAGTTTTCACTCCATATCCTCCCTGGTTGGATAACAGAACATACGTAGTTTGGGTTGACTATGCCTTTCTGACTTTAAAGAACATTGGCTTTAACATACATGAATGTTGTAATGTACACTGATGTACATAAAGTGTCACCCGGGCAATTAAAATTTCTTTCATTTTTGAAGCAAATTTGTTTTATTTAACGGCATTGTATAAATGGGCTGTGTGTGTGTGTGTGTGTGTGTGTGTGTGTACGTGTGTGTGTACGTGTGTGCTTGTTTCATTCTCCAGTCAAGATTTTGTTACTTTGGATTGACTACTTGAGGCTCAGGTATATGTTTACCTACGATAGTTTTTTTAAAATCAGGATTCTAACTCAGGACCTCATGCTTACCAGGCAGGTGTTGTACCACTGAGCTATATCTCCGGCCCGGTATGATACTTTCTTCAAAGGGAAAGAATGTGGGCATTATAGTAAGAAGGACCTAACATTGCAGTTTGGCTGTGCTAACTAGCTGTGTGACATGGTACTAGATATAATCACTCTAAACCTGTACTGACCGATGTGGTAGCCACTAGTCCTCTAAGACTAAGAGAGTTTTGATTATAGTGAGCTTTAGTATGTTTCTTAAGTTAATGTGATTTGTAGTTTATTTTTGTGTGTAAGAGTAGAAATACTCAATTGCACTATTGCAATTTCAGTTTTCTTTCCACCTTTCCTCTCATTCCACTTCTTTACTTTTTTTTCCTATCCTGTTTTTTTAAAAATTCTGTTATTTAATTAAGGCTCTATGCTCCTATTCAGGGGACGTTTTGTTGTTTTATCCCCTAGTAAGTCTGCTGGATATCCCATTTCTCTTTTAATGTGTTTTCACCCATTTAGCTCCTGGTTATTTTTCCTGTTTCCCTTTATCTAATTGTGAATTATGTATGAGCTATTCATACTTGACACTTGTCAAAAGCAGCTGGTGTAGATGGCTTTGCTGCACTATTATTATTACTATCATTATTATTTTGGTCTTTGGATATAGTATTGAGTAAATAGCCTTTTTAGTTCTATAGTTGGAGAACAAATTCATCACCCAGCCATCATTCTTCCTCCTTTCTTCTACTTTGGGTGACATCTTCAGTAGTTTCAACTGTTCTGTTGCTTTTGTAGGTTTTTATGTAATTCCCAAATTAAGACTACAGTTGACAGTATGCACAGTCAATAAGATTCCTTTTGTCTTGTCCCTCATCACCCATCAACCCTGAATGTGGTTTCTTCCTTTTGATAAATCCTTTAAGAGTCACTCAGTGATAGAATGTAGTTAGGTAGATAATAATTGAGGAGAGAC